ATCCTTCAAGAGAGCTTGAACCGTGGGGCAAAACTAAAGTAGTTTAGTTCTACAATCAATAAAATATAAATAAAACAACAATCAATAGAATTAAAAGTTTTTACTTTATGAGCTAAAAATATCTTTTATTGTGATTGGTAGGGTTAAATTTATTATTAAACTTATAAAAATTATTAAATTAAAAACAATGAGAAAATATATATATATATATATATTTATAAAGTTAGATACTTTCATAACTCATGTATAAGTTTAAATTCATGATTTTTAAAATTGAATACAAATTTGATTCAGTAATTAAACATTAGGTGTAAGTTATAATTAAATTTGATGTAATAAATAATTAAAATATAAAAATTAAATAAGAATGAAATGTAACTCTTAACAACTTATTTGAATTCGTAATAATTAAAAAATTATATTACAAATCAATAAATTTATTATTGTGCATTTAATTCAAAAATTACTTTATTATTATAAGTAAACTTTAGTAATTTAATGATCTTTTATATTTAAATTTGTTATAAAAAAATATTATTTACATTAGAAACAGAAGTCATAATCATAAGAAAATCAAATAACACTTGTTTGAATTTAAATTCATTTTGTGTTTGAGCAAATTTCATTCAATTCTACTGTATTGATTAAAGGCGACAATTTGTTATTTCAAATAACTTTTTAGTTATAAACCTTTTTTTTCTAGGAAGAATTATATTTTGTTGAGATTATTAAATAACGTTGATATATATTATTTATTTAAAAAAAAAAAAAAAAAATTTCCATTTAGGACGTTATATATAATATATATATATATATATATATATATACATAATAGTATAAAAAGAGTGCTTGGGTCTTAAAACTGAATATCTCGTTAGTAGTTATCTGGTTTATCCACTTCAAACAAAACCATATTTGATATTCCTCACTCGCCAAACCATGAGCTGTTGTTTGAAGCCGGCTCAGCACTTTTTTCTTCTTCCATAAACACCCTTGCTCTACTACCCCTATTTTATTTTTTTACTCTATAAAACATGGGCACAATAGTCTTTTAACAATGGCAAATTCCATTTCCGATCAAAACACTGGGCGCTTCCACCTCCATGGCTTTGTACGAACCTCGGGATTTCGATTTCCACCTCGAAACTCCTTCCAATAATCCAATTTCAACTCCCCTTGCAATCACCAAATTCACTTTCATCTTATATCTCCTTCAAACCGCCTCTCCATTTTTTTCTTGCTCGCGATTCAAAGGTATATCTTTCTCTTCGAATTCAACTTGATTCAAGTTTTAGGGTTTTCTTTTTAAGTTTTTCTTTCTGATATTGCTAATTCAAAAAGGATTCAAGTTTGTTTTTGTAAGCTTCCTGCTGATTCAGTTTCTAGGGTTTGCTTTGTTTTTATTTTTTATTTTCTTAATTCTGCCGATTACTTTTATGTTTGATTTTCGGTTGTTTTGTTTATCCAAGTGAGATTAATAAGTGCTGCGGAAATCTACGGGAGAGGGAGTTTTTGTTTAGTTAAAGCACCTGTAGCTCTATACAACTGACCATCCAATTTCATAAAAAGTCAGTGATCATGAATGTAAACAACCTTTAATTGAAGGAATGTAGACAAATGTTGTGTTGAAAAGTCGCTGACTGCAACTTTAGCCTAGAATTAAATGAACTGAGGAAGTGAACTTGGAGGCAGCTGCAATCTTGTCCTTCTAGAAAAAGAAAAAAAAAATCTAAAAGGAGGAAAAATTAAAGTAGCAATGCAGCTTTTATCGATTGACAGTTGGCAAACCGCAATAAATCCGGTATCAATAGAGTATCTTTGGAATTTATGGAATAAAAATTGTCATTTTGTCTTCAAATTAAACTGGTTATAGTTTTCTTTAATAGGCTCCTTGTTTTTGATCGATAACTTCTCTTTGTGTTTGTGACTAGGTAAATTTGAGAATGAGTCAACCACAAATGATGTTTTGGAAATTGGATTACTTCATAGGTTGTTCATATGTTCGAGTCCTAATCTATCCATGTGTGGATTAGTAGAAAAATTTTGTCTCAATGCATAGTTGTTTATATACGTAGTGTTTGGAAAATATTGATAGCAGCTATTCTGAATGCAGTTTTTTTGTGTCTGTCATGTAATTTAGTTATAGTTTGCGTAATATATTCTCCATCTTTTGTAGAGAAAAGAACAAATTCACAACCCTCTAAGAGTGCGCCATCACGATTCAAATAAACTTACAAACAAGAAACAAGATCTATGAGTGTGACCAGGAATCCTAGAATTAAAGGGGGTACATTCAAAATTTCTTACCCTATGTAAAAGGAAGTTCCACCCTGTTAAAGCGTTTCACTCTTTCCATATGGATCTCTAACCTTACTCCTACCCTGGTCTACCAGTGCCCATTTTAATTTATTCCAAAATGG